ATGAATGAATGAATGAATGAATGAATGAATGAATGAATGAATGAATGAATGAATGAATGCATGCTGGGCCCAAGGAAACCCCCTCCCATCACTGGGCCGACCACCAGTACCCTTGTGGGAAATATATTGCCCAATTAAGTTGGGGTATCTAAGTTCCTGATACGACCATAATCAATCAATCCATCAATCTATTGTAGGAGTGATATGCTGGTCCATGACCACAATCAGTCCCCCCTCCCTTCCTCCCATCCATCTATCCACGTCATTTCAGAATGGTCTCCCTCTAACCAAGTCATCCAGATCCCACAGCCCCCCTTGCTCCATTCTGGAGACTCACCTTGGCCATCTCATCGTGGTCCATGGCCAGTACATCCTTCATAAGGTGGTAAGCCTCACAGATCAACTGCATGTCACCGTACTCAATCCCATTATGGACCATCTTCACGAAATGTCCAGACCCCTCATCTCCCACCTGTTGGACATGGGGAGAAGGGACCACATCAGGAGGCATTGTAATTTTTGCTGGGTTCAGGATCTGCTCGTTAAGAGGGTCCAGGTTTAAGAACCGGATCAACCCTGAGAGCACCAGCCACACCCAAGTTCTGTTGGGTTTGGCAACCCAGAGATGCTTCTGACCAAGTGTGAAGCTTTTCCCCTTTCCAGCAAATATCTCCATCTTGCAGAAATGCAATCCAGCTGAAAAAAAAGAGGTGAGTTGGAGACGTCCTGCTCTAAAGTCAAGCTGGGACAAAGGATGACGTGACGTCCCGGCTCCTAGGCTGACTTTCACCACAAACCCTTCCGCCTAGAACTACGCTACATCAAAGCTCCAGAGATGAGCGTGCTTCTTTTTCTTGTATCTGCTCATTCATTTCTCTTTTCTATCATGCCCGCTTAGGTTGCATGGCACAATTGTAAAAGATGAAGTGCTGCAAATGTGTCAGGAGGAAGGGGGTCTGCACGGGTGCCTGGACAACATACCAAAGAAATAAAAACAATAGGAAGGGATCTGAGGTCAGAAGCATCATGTTACTCTGATCTGAGTTGCTAGACTAGAGCTCCTCTAGGCTCCATCTTTCTGAACGGCAACAGCCCTCCAAGAGGGTCACCTTTTGCGTCTGCCAGACTCACCCAGTCACAACACGGTTCTCCAGTCCCTACTTTGGCTGCGATACTCTGAAATATTGTCTTGATGTGAGGCCTGCGAAGAAGGAGGTGGGGAAAGGAATTAGCAAAATGCACCCAACTCCTGCCAGCATCTAATTCCTAGCAGCCTTAAGATGAAGGACGGGGGAATAGTTATCCCAAACTTTTGAAACACGAACCATGCTTCTTTTGCTCCGCCGGGCATGAGGGAGGGTCCATACCGTGCTCCTTCTTCACCCCCGCTCACCCCGCTTCCCACAAACAAGATGCCTTTTTCCTTGAGTTCCCTGCAGCGTCTCTAAAGGGGAGAAAAAGGGGGGACAGAGGGAGAAGCTGAGTCCTTCTGCAAAGAGACGATTGCAGGGGGAAATAAGCTCATTCAGACTGAAGCATTTCTCCCACTAAACACAAGACTCCATTTCTGAACAGGGGAAAGATGGCTGAAATCCGGCTCGTTTAAAAACAAATTTTTTTAAAAAAAGAGGAAAATAGCTAAACATACTGAATTTCCTGAGCTCGGCTGAGGGAAGCTGGGCTCATCCATCAGGGCTCCGAGCTCATCAACGCAAGAGTTTCGAAGCAGACTGAGCAATTTGATATTTTTCAAGTGAAAGTAGCCCGAACACAGGATCATAAAGTTTCCTCTGCAAAACCCATTTTGTGCTCCTCGGAGGAAGCAGCAGCTAGCAGAGACCTACCGTGCTATCTCTGTATTCCGAATTTCCTCCGTCGATAATGATGTCTCCACGACACAACAGCGGCACCTGAAAACACAAAGGACCCGCCATAAATAGATCCCACTACAGCCGATCAGTAACTTGCTATTTGAACCCTGGCATACAGCTTTAGTGATTTGGACTATGGAGGTTTATTAAGCCCAACCCAGAGGGGTCTCCTCACCAACTTGTTGATAAAGTCATCCACCGCGCTTCCGGCCTTCACCAGCAGCATCACACGACGGGGTTTTTTCAGCTTTGCGACCATTTCTTCTAAGGAGTGAGCTCCAATCACTTTTGTCCCCTTGGCCTCGTTTGCAAGGAAATCGTCCACCTTAGAGACCGTCCGATTAAAAGCACATACCTGGGCAAGGAAAGGAGAGAAGAAATCAGAGAGGAAACCAGGGAGGTTGGCACTGCAATTATTAAAATGCCTATTTTCCCAGCTTTCTCGTTGCAGACTAGGAAAGTCTTCCCAACACCAAGGCACTGAACGACCACCTGGATTTTTCTATATTCTCTTTTCCCAGCAAAAAATATTCCATATTTATTGAATTATATTTACTTATTACTTAATCATGCAGACACAAAAATATTACTTTCTACATAATTTGTGCCATTGCTTCACTGCAGAACGACTGGCTGAGGAGACAATCTCAAGGAAGTGAGTCAAGCTACATTTTACAGACAAATGTTCTGAGAGAATAAGAGAAATCCTCTTTTAAACTCTTTTCCGCTTCAGTTTTTTTAAACAGCATCCAGTTTATTATAAAGCCAATAGGAGACTGACTGATTTTCACATTTTAGATTCTTTAATCGGGCCACAACAATGCTATGAGATGCCTAAAACTAAAGACTGAAAAGCTACAATTTTTTTTAACACAGAAGAAAAAGATGTTATACAATAATTAACAACCGGTTGTGGAACATGTCACAACAGATTATTGAAGCCACATTTCAGAGACATCTGGCCCGAGAGACGTCCAGCTTCTGTGCCTCACAGACCATTTTGCACTGAATCGGTGCAACTCAAGGTTTACTCACCACAAAACCATGATCGTTCATGTTGAGGATGAGATTCTGGCCCATGACCGCCAAGCCGATCAAGGCGATATCTGCTCTGCAAAGAAGCAGCATAGAAAAGATGTTGAAATGGCAAGTCAGTTCCAAAACAGGCTTCTCATCCCTCTGTGGCAGGCACTCCATGAAATGCCCTTAGGTTACTCAAGCAAGTAAGCCCAGCTACAAAGGGAACCAAACTAGAAGCACTGGAATTGTTAGCATATTATTAGTAAATTATCCTACCATCTCTCTGCCAGATGCTCAGAAACTGTCTGTCCCCTGGATAGGATGCATCAGCCCATCTTATATGGATATTATAATTATATATTCTTGGCTTCCCCCATCAACCCTAACCCCACACTAAACCACAGATCATGGTTTACAAGCCACAAAGGGGGCTGGGGGGTGTGTCAAATAACACATTAGGCCAAACCCACCAAGTTTCATCAGAGGGACTTGCGAGGCCCCAAAGGTTGGAGTGCAAAGAAAGAAAAAAATGAAAATACCCATAAGAAGCAGGTCAAACCCAGGCAGGATGAGAGTGTTTGCTAAACGCTCAACCCTCCAGGAGGCGGGGATGGGCTTGCGACAGCGTCTTGCCACAAAGAGGAATCAGGAAGTAAATGGGATTTCTTAATCCAGCCCGCTTCTCCCTCTTCAGCCCTGGCACCCAGTGCCAAGGCAGAGACTGGCAGCTGCGTGGTCCTCCTGCACCAAACTGGGTTGGCTTTAGAAATCAAGGAGGGGACGGGAGAAACTGCAGGCAGAAGTTCTCTCTTTCCCCAAAGCAAAGGAGAGGGTTGCCGGGACTAAGCTAGCTCTGAGCTCAGAAAGTCAAGAAAACCACTTGGGTGTGGAAACATCCCTGCTTGGGCAACGCTGGCGTTTCTTCCTTCCCTCTCTAGGTCTTAAGCCGATTTAATCCAGAGGCCTGGCAACAGCCCTGGCGGGATCCGCTCAAGAATCAGCCTTGGGTTTTCACAGGGCCAGCCCCACATCTCTGGGGTCCGGAGGATGAGACCGGCCTCTCCCGCTTCGCCTGCAACTGGCCTTCAGAGGCCTGCTGCCCCAACCCGCCCAAGAGAGCGGCCATTACGGTCTCTTGTGGCCATGAGTTCCACAGGCTCGTCGTTCCCTGTGAGAAGAAGGGCTTCTAATTCTATAGGAAACTGCTGGTTTTTCCTCTAAAACAATCCCTTTTCAGTTCCTCTCCATGCTTGCCAATCCTGGCCACATTCTTCTCTTGGGTTAACCCAGTTTGCTGGGTAGGCCTCAGCTCAACACCCACGTCAACCAGCCATCCGAACCACGGTTGATGATCGGCACTGACTGAGGCCCCCCCGTGGACCAAGCCCAACCAAACCAGAGTCTGGCTTGGTCTGGGGTCTGGCCCAAGCCACGATTTGGCGGTCATAGCCATCTTGTGGGAAAAAAATTGGTCTGAGGTAGAATTAATTGGCAGCTTCAGCTGCACTTTTGGGCATCCACCCCCAGGCTCGAAGATTGGGTGTTTCAGCCAATGGGAAGCCATCCCAGAGGACACAGGTTGGAGGGAGAGCCAATGAAAGGAGCCCCAAATTGAGCCACCTATCCGCTGAGGGGGGGTGGGGGTGGGGATGGTATATAAGGGGGACCCCAACGCAGAGCTCTGTCAGAATTTTGGAGGGTGCAGCGGAGGAAGAAGGGAGGAGGGAAGAAAGAGGCGCAGCCCCCCAAAGGGGAACAAGTGGGCTGAGTCACTGGGGGAGGGAGAAGCCACTGCCTGCCCCAGAGCTCTGGGTTGAAGACGGCGCTCTGCTCCAGCCGGCCGGCCCAGAGTCCTGAGGCGGCAGCCCAGCAAAGATGCCCCTCATTTGGCGCGCTCCGGCCGAGAAGGCCTCTCTCCCCCAGGCTCCCTGCCCGGGGCGCCCCAGCCTCGCCTCCAGCGCCCTGCCGAGTCTCCCCGCGTCTGACTCGGCCTGCTTCGCCCTCGGGGCCACCCCGACTTCCCGACCCAATAACAAGCTCCCACGTCCTTGGTCTCCGGCTGGTTCTTTTTGGAGGGGAAGGGGGGGCTGGCCTTGGGATGGGATGGGATGGGGGGTCCTTTCTCTCTTGGGCCCGCTGAGATGCGGCACTGACTCGAGGGCGCTTCGCAGGTCCCCGGCGCTCTTTGGGCAGCCCGGATCGGCCTACGAGGCTCCAGTTCACCCGGGAGGGGGGGTCTCGGCACG